GACTGGCCCACTTATTCCTTACCGGTTTACATCGAGTATTTTCAAATTGTTCCGATGTTGGAAATGTTGCGAGACTAATGTTTTCGTTTGGTGAGACATCAATGACAGAAAACGTGTAAACAATTTCAGCAACCGCGGGACCATCTGATTCTTCTGCGTCACATTCCATAATGCGTAAGTTAAAACAAGCTCAGGTCTTTTGATGTGACCATAGTATGAATATAATGAAATATTGTAGTAATATGAACTTCAGGTAGGTTTTTAAATTTGCAAGTATATGTTTACTAATATCAGAGTGTTTTGAGTATTTCGACAGTTCAGACAATGCAAAGTTTCTTGTCTCTTTACAGCAGCCAAGATACTTGCCACCGGCGGTGCACTCCTGGTGTTTGTATTGGCCAGTGCAATCTGAAGTCCAGTGCGGATTTTTAGGATTGGAGCCGTTGGCAAACGGATTTCTGGAGTCACCTAGATAGTTATTTTTGGTTATGGAAATAAAGTGTGTTTTGACAGCTCCAATTTCATAAGAGTCATTAATGCTTTTAGCGAAATCGACAAATTAAACTTTCGTTCAATGAAATAAACCGATATTGGGTTAAATCAAAGCAAACGACGGGGTTAAATGTGAAAATATCTGCACACGTCCGTTCAAATGTATAGGAATGTGAAAGACGTCCTAGCGGAGTCATCCGTGCTGCGAGGCCTTCTCATCTCAATGACACCAAAAGACCGCATTCTTATGCTAAAGTAGTACCACTGAATCTAATGCAGATATACATAGACGGATGATGTAGTAACGCGTAATAATACTGATTACACCCATTCGATTAATGTCCGGGAATGCCCAATCTCTTGCGCCAGAAAATATCATCAACGAGTAAAGAAGAAACGGTTATATCCCCCAATGGTATGACGCCTGTTCGGTGCGGAATAAAAGACAGACAGGATAGCAGAGAACAGCTTTACTGTGCCAATCACCCTTTGTACATCAACTCTTAGTCCTTCCGTCCGCGGCCTCGTAGTTAAGGGTTCAGCCTTCGTCTGGTTTGCGTGTTCCTACTGGTCCAGTCGTGAGCGCCGGCATGGGCAGGCCCTCGCGTGTTGCTGACCCCTGGAGGTCGCGCGTGACTCAGCGGCGTGCCAATGTCCGGCTCGCATGCGGGCTTCCTGGTCGAGGCTGTCCTGCCGTTTTGCGGTTCTTTGTCAGGCGTGATCTTCGGACGACAGGAACCGTGACCCATGTTCTGGGCCGTCCTAACAGAAACAGCGCAGACAGCTGTTGCAGTCGACGTAAAGCTCGCCAGAATGATACGCCATGATACTTGACCCGGAAGCATACCAAGATGCAACCGGCGTCGAAACATTCATGTGCGCTGTAGTAAATTCACCACCCATAAAATTTATTGGTTTGGTATCTTCGACAGCAAATGACCAAGTTTCTGACCAACAACAAAAGTGTAGCTGGCACAGTCGAATCCCCACCTGAGCGATGTGTGAGGTGAATGTACGGGGACACTGCGGACAGGAAAAATCGGTGGTTACTTTCGGTTCCGGTGATGGTGGCAGTGGCGGAGCTGCTGGTCGTGGCGGATTAAAACAGTCGAGAGACCGCCTTGGAGCCCCCAGACTTCGGATTGCTGCTCACTTGGCCGTTGTTTGTGCGCTCGGCGCCTGCTTCTCTCGATGAAATGTCTGGGATAACTATTGACTGCAAAGAGATTCCGAAGGTACAGTCCTTCGTGTGGTCGGTCTGGTGGTTCTTCTTCTTCCTTGCTGAGTAAACTCTTTGTTGGACTGTCTCTGTATGGACTTTTTAAATCCAATGTGGTTACTTAGGCCTGGGCTCTAGGGCAGTGATGACGTAGGGCTTTGTAGGCTGCAGGAAGGTCCAGACGCCTGTTTATGGAGTTAGCATTAGAGTACCAAGCGTCGAGTGTTAACCGTGTTGATTTTGTTTTGCGCGGGCCTAAGATGGAAGCTCTCTGGATATTGAAAGTATGCGCAGTTTCTCCAACGTGCGTTGCTAATTGAGAGTCGATCTGCGCTCTTGCTGGTGGGCATAACGATTGCACATTCAGAACCTCTTTGCAGCCAATGCTTTCCCCAGTAATTTTATCGAAATAAGCAGGCGCCGAGCGCACAGTCGACGGCCAAGTGAGCGGCAACCCGAAGATCCATTCCTTACGTTAAAGGGATCTCCGAGGCGAACTGTCGACCGCTAAAACCCGCTAGAGTAGACATAGCTCATCGACTCCAGGCAACAATAGGGCGCCGTTTAATGCAACCTGAGGACACCCCGCTACCCGCTGAAATCTCAGGATTTGTATACAAAATAAGTTGCAATGAGGGTGAATGCAGGTATGTTGGGGAAACCGGGCGGAAATTGCAGACTTGAATACAAGAGGCTCGAACGCGACTCGGAGGCTAGATCCAAACTCTCAACTAGCAACGCACGTTGGAGAAACTGCGCACACTTTCAAGCTCCAGAGAGCTACCATCTTAGGCCGGGGCAAAACAAGAGCAGAATGGCTAACGCTCGAGACTTGGTACTCTAATGCCAACTCCGTCAACGGGCATCTGAACCTTCCCGCAGTCTATAAAAGCCTACGTCATCTCTTCCGTAGAACTCAGGACCAAGTAGCCACACTGGACTGAAGAAGGCCATAGATAGACAGGCCGACGTCGAGTGAACTCGGCGAAAAAGAAGAAGAACCACCAGACCGACCACCCAACGAAGGTTCAATCACCTCCAGCCGACGAAGTGGTGATTCACAATGCACACAGATAAAAGCTTCCGCCAATCATCCGGCGACAGGCCGAGGCAGCAAGAAATCAAAAAAAATCGATCAGCACGAGGCCGACCAACAAGACATGTCATTTGAAATGTCTGGTCGATTAAGTGCATTTTACGCTTTGACAATGGGGAGCCGACTGAGTTCTTCGAATCGCCAACACCAAAATAAGCCCGTTCCGGTGAGGCCATTCCTTTCCTCAAATCATCAACCCGGATCTCTCAACTTTGCCGATCCAAATAGACAGTCATTGAAAAGCAGTTAATTCGTGCACCACAGCACGCTAACTGCGGTATTTGCCTGAATGCACTATGCACAGGTAGAAGCCACATTCTGCCTGATTACAGTGCGCGGCTTGTGTCTCAGTACTTCAGAAGAGGGATGCGCTCTAGTGAGATTGTAAGCTGACCATTGTGGGTCAAAGTGTTAGGTGTTAGGTCAAGACACCAGTATGTTGAGAGCTGTTTTGCGATTTCGCTCATGTTGAGTACTTTACCCGTAAAGGGTTGCAGTCCACTCTACAGGATTACTGACGTTTTCAAAAGCATGGTCTAACAGTTCGTGTAATGTGTAGGTTTTTCAGATATCATCGGCTTACATTTGCATGGCTTTCATGGAAACCGTCCCCTGACTCTCGTAGGGTTGCATTTGTAAGCTCATTGCTCCGGCATACTTTACAGATGGAGCTGGTTCTGGTAAGCTTTCAACCTTAATTCAAACCTCTACTTGTGGTGGAAAAATCACTAGCAATAGCGCAGCGGCAGGCAACCATGCTATCTGAGTGTGGCCTCTGTGTAGTTGATGGTAGGAGCAGGGATCGACTGGCTGGTTCGAGTGTAACTTTAGGATATGTTTGAGTTCTAGTAGGAACCTAGTCACTGGCATACCTATTTGACAGCGTTTGGGAAACCTAACGGTGACTCCTTAGATGCAGACGTAAGGACAGGTTATGTAGGAATGTAGACAATTCGTCCGATTTTGGATTAGTAATGTTAGATTCCCTAGGCTGCTGCCAGTTATTCGCTGGTACCACGGCACTGCGATAACCACCTCTCAACTTTAATCAAATTGGCCATTGCAAGACTGCCATATATGGTCGTTTGCGGAGTCTATCGCCCTAGTAGCTAATCCTCTGATTTATCTTACTTTTCATCTTCCATGCTTACTCTTGCCTATTGGTCTATCAGTTGAACGTACCCACATCAACTCGAGGCAGTATAAATATCGAGGACAATTGATGTCCGGGCACCTTGGACCGGAAAAGGCCTCCCCGACACTGCCACACGTCCTCGCATTTATCGCATACCGCATCAAACAAGGACAGTCTCTGGGCCAAACAGTCCCCACCAAAGGACCTTTCTGTGTTTCCTATTCTATCTGACCTCCGACCCGTCATAAATAATCCTTAATCTTCCCCTTAGGCCACTGTCTTGAGTTCTTATTGGGGCCCGAATCTGGGGGTTTCGGTACTTAGCCCCTTTGGGTCGCCTAGTGCATGTAATCTGTCGTCTAACACTTACCGCACACTGCTCGTACTTCATCCTCATTGGCTGCTGGCAGCCCTTGAACCTGAGCTCACGCGCATTTGTCAGTGGCGGCTTATTCAATTGCGTTTCATTTATTCACTGTTGCTTGCTTAGATTTTTTGAAAATTTGCCTCCTCATTTTCAGCTTATTTTATAAGCGGAGGAATAATCTTATGAGGAAAGTGCACTTATTTTTATATTCCACTTATTCGTTTTAACCACTCCCTAGATTTTATGCTCTATTGCTGAAAAACCCTTCTACCACCTCAACTCTCTGCTTGGAGTGGTTTTGGCAACACCAACTAACGCACATTCATTCCCCCTACTGTTTGCACATCAAGCGTCTTTAGAAAATACTAGTAAGGAAAACGCAGGGTTTGTATTCGTGGGGTAGACATTTGACTGACTTTGATCTTACGTGGACGTTTGAAGGTTATGTAAACCCAGGTAACCCATCTAATGTCCGTCCGTTTTTCAAGGAACAGACTTTGCTTGCTTCTGGGCATCTGCCTGAAATTAATAGTCTGCCTCAACGGTATTCTGGCGCGGCCATAGTCGCTAACACATGTCCCATATTTTTACCAGAGGGATATGCCCCGCTAGATGCATCACAGGGCAGCTTGACGGGGGTGTAGCGTGAAACTAAGCGCAGGTGTTGATTTACACAGCCCACTTCAGACTGTTAGGGCTGTGTAGCTGAACACAATTCAGCTGCTGCATCATCGTGCAACTCTTTGGCGGTGGCGAGTAGGTGGAGTTTTCTGGGGTCGCTGACAACCCTGTCTGCCCCAACAGTCTGCACTGTGTAGTCGCGTATTTCGGGGTCATGAATGCGAGTCAGCCTGGATGGTGGCGGGGCAGCTGGCTGGATTGAGGCCACGAGGGCGTCAGCAGTGGTTGACACCAACAGACGCATGCTCACTGGCATGACGGGTCAAATGGGCTGTGCAAATACCTGCCAAAGTTGACGTTTCACTCCAACCACTTTGAAGGCATTGGGGCCTACTTATTTAAGAACGGTGTCGGTAACGATAGAGTGTTGGATCCCCAAATAGATGACAACTCCAAAACTGTACTCTAGATTTCTGTGTGACCGTAAGCATCACTTATTATTCACCGTTCTCATTGTTTGAAATTTTCTTCCCTTCCTGACTAAATGTGACCTAAACAACGGCGTTTTATTCAGTGTCCGTTAATTTTTTGAAAATCGGTTCTTGTTAATTTTTTAGTATTGCGCTCATTTTTTGTTAGTTTGCAGCGTACAAGAAAACTTTCGGGCGGAATTTGTCCATTTTTAGTGTCTTCTTGTTTTCCGTCCTGAACAAGGTATTCGTCAAAGATATGCGTTTGCCTTTTCAAAGTGCGCTTCACATTCCCTACCACGTTTTATTTGGGTTGTTGGTAACACTCGGGAGATGGCACCCAAAAAATCCGTTACCTAGAAATAATACCTTTAACAGTAAACTCAAACGCCTTCATGCTATATCAGCGGTTGCAGGCCTACTTTCACGCAATACTTGGACTTTCCCCGACGGCCTAACACGGGCTGGCCGAACGAACATCGCAGGAGGTTACATGGACGATGGTCGTTGTTACCCAACCTTCCCCATCGTTACACTCGTACACCTGAAAATACGGCATACATTCGCATTATGGCAGTTTATTACAAAACAAAATCACTTTTAAATACGATAAGTCTGCACAATATGGGACAGGAATAGTTCCCAGGCGTCTGTAAAAGACATGGCATTGAGGCCAAACCAAAGACGATACTCTACTTCGTCTATGTGAGCCCACACAGCTTGACCACATACAGGGCCTCCCTCGTGGAGTTTCTTTTTCAGTCTACTCCAGTATGCCTCAAGGGCATTGGTGTGCCGTCCGGTTGTAGGGTCTTTGAAGTTCATTGAGTGGTTAACAGAGAAATGTAGACAACCTTCTGAGGGAAGATGATTATACGCCTTCCGCTCGTCCGTTACCACTATGCTGTCTTTGGCGATCCATTTTGTAATAACGGAACGGAGAGCGGGCCAACATCGATCACTCATCTGCAAAAATAAGGCTTTCCGTCGGTTAGTATCGTCCATCCCCACCAACCACCACCCATAAAACCCCTATTACCACCTGTCTCGTAAGACGGGCTGCTTTGTTTAGGCGGATTTTTTTGGGTGCCATCTCCCGATTGTTACCGGGTTGTTTTGTAAAGTACGATTTTCAGATAGACTGATGGCATGGAATTGGTGTCGACCAAATTTTTAATGAAGAAAAGAAAAAAGGCACAATCACTGTGCCCAATTCCTTAATGTATCTTGGTCAATTGTCAGAAAGTCAAACACTCGTCTTCGTCAACGCAGGTCTTCGGTCAGTAATGGTCACCTGCACACGTCCGCAGTTTTCCCTGGAACTCTAGAAAACGGACATTGCATAATCCACATTAAACACGGACGTTTGCGAGCCCGGCAGTCCCCTACGCAATCTGATATCAGAAGTTACATTTTTTGTAAAATTAGAACAAATACGAATGTTTGAAAGGTGGAATGGCATTGATCAGGAAAGCGAGGGGTGAAGTTCACAGAGAGAGGATGGAAGCGAATATGCGAATCCCAGGTTCTTGTTGTAAAGAAGATGAACACACAATGTCTGGGGCAGTAGGTGTCCCGGCAACCGGGGGACCATCTAATTCTTCTGCGTCATATTCCATAATGCGTAAGTTAAAACAACGTCAGGTCTCTAGATGTGACCATAGTATGAACATTATGAAATATTGTAGTAATAGGAAATTCATATAGGTTTGTAAATTAGGAACTATATCTTTATTATTATCACGGTGCTTTGTGTATTTCCAAAGCTCAGACAATGCAAAGATTCTGTTCTCTTCAGAGCAACCAAGATACTCGCCACTGGTGGGGCATTTCTGGTGTTTGCATTGGCCAGTGTAATCTGAAGTCGAGTGCGGATTTTTAGTATCGGAGCCGTAGGCAAGTGGAATTCTGGAGTAGACTAGATGGTTATTTTTGGTTATGGAAATAAAGTGTGTTTTGACGGTTCCAATTTCATAAGTATCATAAATGCTTTTAGCGAAATCGATAAATTACACTTTCATTAAATGCAACACACAGATATTGAATTAAATCAAAGCAAACGGCGAGGTTAAATGCGACAGTATCTGCAGACGTCCGTCAAGATGTATAGGAATGTGAAAGACGTCATAGCGGAGTCATACGTACTGCGACGCCGTCTACACTCATTTACACCAAAAGACCGCAATCATATGCAAATCTGGTACTACTGAATCTAAAGCAAATCTACATGCACGGATGATGTAGTAACGCGTAATAATGCTCACTACACTCGTCCGATTTATGTCCGGGACTGCCTAATCTTTTGCGCCAGAAAATATCACGAGCGAGTTAAGAAGACACTGTTATAGCCCTCAATAGTATGACGACAGTTCGGTGCGGAATAAAAGACAGACAGGATACCAGAGAACCACTTTACTGCGTCAGTCACCCTGTATACATCAACTGTTTATCCTTCCGTCCGAGGCTTTCGTATTTAAGGGTTCAGCCTTTGTCAGGTTTGCGTGTTCCTACTGGTGCAGTCTTGAGCGTCCGCATGGACAGGCCCTCGCGTGTTGCTGACCCCTGGAGGTCGCGAGTGACTCAGCGGCGTGCTAATGTCTGGCTAGCATGCGGACTTCCTGGGCGAGGCTATCCTGCCGGCTTGCGCTTCTTTGTCAGGCGTGATCTCCGGACGACAGGAACGGTGCGTCATGTTCTGGGCCGCCCTAACACCTGCCGCTGTTAAAAAGTGAATCTCGTATGTCCGGCAATTTGGTTAGATCAAAAGTCTGTTCGTGGGGCGTCCTGTTCGACCTGGACCACATTTAGAACTTCAACCATCGGAGTCGGGATACTGAAAGTGTCACAAAGTATGTCCATGTTCAGTTAGTTGTCTGACGTCATTCGGTGTCTCAAATAGGTCGCGTGTCTTCTCACACGTCCTCGTCCTGTCTCAACATCAAAAACTACACCATGTGCCCTTTTATTATACCCTTTATCCAGGGTTCCCTTCCTGGAACGTAATTCCGTGCGTATACCCCTTCTCCCTCCACGAAACGGGATTTTCGCGGCTGAACCTCTCGGACTACAGGTTTCAGATATTGCAGACGCACATCGGGTTGTCTGCCCAGAAATCTTTCTGCAGGAGTCGGTAAAGCTGTAGTTGCCGACGTTCTGGATCCTCAGCGTCGCCGCTTACTAATGTTGTCTTCGGGTCACTTGATACGCGTGACAACAACTGCGTACCCTCTTGTCTCAACCTCGGGCCCGCGACAGTCGGTATACATATATATAAATTGCTAATAGAAGCGAAGATGCGCGTCCCCGGACATAAATCAGAAGAAAAGGCGATCTCGGGAACCATATTTTTACTGTCCTGACGAAATAACTTTGACTTCGCAGTTGACAAAGTGTATGTTTGTATGATTTGGCGTGCCGGTGGTCTGAGCGTCAAGCTATAACGGCTCCTTATTAATGTGGTCTTTATTGCTCATCCACGTAATGGGATCCCATCCAGGTGTGGCGGCACGCTAAGAGGTGATTTCGGCTTCGCCAGATACCTGCGCCCTCTCTAGCCTTCGCTTTCCTTGACACCGGGCACAGATGAGGAGGGCGAGCGAGTGCGATAGACGACGCGCAAGTCTGCTGTCACTATGAATGAAATCACACAGAAGTCAGTGTGCCCGTCTTCAACTTGCTGTGGAGCACACTGTGGATATCAGCGGTCACGATCTTCGACAAGCGCTCCGAACCACACTTCTAAGTAGAGCTCGCGGATATGTTCTGCAAGCAGAGTGGAATATGAACAGGCTGTCATACACTAGTGCTCTGTCTCACAACCCACATAAGCAGTCAGAAAAGTCTCATTTGATTTGCATACTTGCACGGCATGAGTCCGCGGATTGACTGATAGCGTAACAAACTGACGCAGACCTTATTTTATTCGTAGATTTACTCTCTAGTATAATATATTTAGGGTTATATGCAATCTCCTTGATGAGCCTATTGAAAACGGTACAAACTGTGTTAGTTTAAACGCACATGGTGCTAAAATATTGTCAGTAACAAATCCTCTAACGGAAAAACGTTCTACAGTGTGGAACTGCAAATGTTACGGCGGACAGCCCTTCCATAAGCGTTTGGGATATTAAGTGCAATCGGCAAAAAAATGCAGTCATTTGTTTGGTTTGCGGTAGAATATTTCGTCAAACCTGCAGGGGTGCGTTACATAGAGAGTGAAATCAGGAAAGAAAGTTCATGGCTGGCCGTTGCAGTGAGCGTCGTCGTTTACAAAAATCAAACGACCCAAGTGCCTTTTGAATACGGCGATTGTGTCAGATGGGAGCGAGTTTAACGTTCGAACCACACACTGACTAAATGAAAACATACGATGGTCTAGGCGTTTACACTCTCGTTTGACCCTGTACGGATGACTGCGCAGGTGACTCATGGTCGTGAAGTCAAAGGAATCTTCAGATGCCGCGGATAATACGGAATGCCCCTGCCAGGTCATGTCTCATTTGTCTATAGGATAGGGGGAACAAATTAAGCTGATTCAGTCTTTCTTGATATGACAGAGTCCTGATGATTTCCGATGGTATACATATGTTCCGGAGACCTCTATTATCGAAGGGATGGCAAAGATAGTGCATGCAGGTTCAATCGCCAAATGATAACTTATTGACCGTATCCTACCGAGGAGGTGACAGAAGGTTTTGTGGGGATGGAGCAAAAAAGCGAGTAATTGAAAAGAATAAGGAAAATACAAAAACAAGTACACTTTCCTCATAAGATTTTTCCTGCGCTTATCGAATAACCTGAAAATGAGCAGGCAAAGTTAAAAAAAATTATATAA